CCTCCAACCCAATAGCAATGGCCTTCAACCTAGAAGCGATGGCCTCCCCCTAAGCGCTGAGTGTACTACATCAGCTGGAATACAGCCTTCTTCGCAGGACAAACTGTATCATGCAATATAAATTAATGTAGCAGGGCCTTCAAGGGGTAGTTAATGGACACCCCTTAACGGCTAAGGGGCTAGTCAATCGACACCCCGAACACCACGGGAGCTCCGAGGACGTCGTGTGAGCTCCGTTCTGGGTCCTCCGATCTTGGATTCATACCAGCCCAGCTCAGCTCAGCTCAGTCAGTGTAAAATAGAGAGACCTCCCAACGACCCCAACCGGTTGGGGTGAAGCCCTATTTCCCATGCACACCCAAGGCCAATATCCATGTCATTGCTATTCGTGTGCTGGCTAGAGATCCCGAAGCTAGTTATGTTCAGGTAGGTTTTTCTGTCCTAGTAGCCATTCACAAGCTTGCGCAAGGGCTTGAAGAGTATCCATTCACCCTGTTGCTGTGGTTGAACGTTGTGGTATCGACCCATCAAAAATGATGAGGAGAGCATCGGAGCATCGAGTCTTGGTGAAGTCGACATCCCCGACGGGCCCAGGGCATCTCTAAGGTTCCTTGGTTTTGTATACGTAGTGATACAGCAGTTACAGCGAGTGATACAGCAGTTACAGTGATCACCAGGGAATCATAGTGATAACACGGGAGATTCTTGTTTGCTCCCATTCCCTGAGTTTTGTAAAACCATCAGAAATCGCCGCTCCACACGTTCCACCTCCGCATTCGAGTCCAGCTGAGGGTCTCGCTCACCTTGTGCCGCAACACCCGACTGGGGCCCATCAAGGCGTGAGCTCCGGCGGGAACTGGACCCGCTACCGGACGACGGGGGGGCACGCTGGGTCCATGAAGCCCTTTGCTCCTAGTAGCGTCCTGGTCCATGACCAGCCTCCAATTCATGGGGCTGCTCCGGGCTGATGTGAGATTTGCTGAAGAGTTGTTCGTCTTCTTCCATCTTGGGTAGGACGAGATGGGTGTGTGGTTTAATAGGGAGGTCTTCAACCAATGTGTTTTGGTCTATTTCAAATGTCCCTTCTTCCACAAGGTTTGTCGCCCTATTTTAATACACACCCACAGCTTTGGATGCAAAGGCTGATACTTAGGGCATTTGCATCTTATCCGATTCGTGATCCTGAATGTATAGGGCATCCTGAATGAGCGCGTTCTGCACTAAATTCATGACACTGGCCGTGGCGGCCAGAAAGCGCTCATGGCCACCAACATGCTGTGTACTCCAGGCTTGTGAGAGCGGATCTTCTTCTTACCTCGCTTCCAATATCGTGTTTCTTCTCCACTGACTGACTGTGCTCCTCCGAGCCCTTTCTACATGTCAGAAACAGTGCAAAGAAGCTGTGAGCTCACTTCAAAGCACAAACGGGGCAGAGCTTTCAAGATCGCCGCATCCGAACACAGAACATGTGCTTCGCCTCCACCTGGGCGTAAAGAAACAAAAAACACAACTCTAGAACAGGTCGCTCGGTCGCCCAACGCAGCTTTTCTACGACTGCAGCCAGTGTTTTTACAATATTTTACATGCCTAGATGCCTATAGTCCCCCTTGGGACTCTTCAGCTTTGCAGCCGCAAATGCTGCGGTGGTCAATCACATGCCGATCGGCATCGCGTGTGCCATAACCTAGGTAAGTGCAACCTGGACATGAAAACTAGACGACGAGTGGCCCGAAAGCATTTTTCATCACGTAGGAAGTCAGAGTGCGAGTTATCCGGTAAGTGTGCAGTGAGAAGTGTGAAGTCGAGTGAGTTGAGGTAGTGTGTGGGTTTCTGTGCGTGTGTCTATGTCCGTGTGGAAATGAGTCTGCGTATGTGTGTGTTCGTGTAAGTTGAGGGAGTGTGTGGGTGTCTGTGTGTGATGCGGCCTCCCAAACCCCCCACCGGCGGCCAAGCGGTGACAGCCCAGCTCATCGTCGTGAGCATTTGGGCTGCTGGTAAGGGGACAATGGCAGCCAGCGTGCTGGCTTACCCACTTCAACTATGATGGTAGCCAGCGTGCTGGCTTTGCCATCTCAATAATGGCAGCCAGCGTGCTGGCTTACCCACTTCAACTATGATGGTAGCCAGCGTGCTGGCTCATACCCACTTCAACTATGATGGCAGCCAGCGTGCTGGCTTTGCCATCTGGACAATGGCAGCCAGCGTGCTGGCTTACCCACTTCAACTATGATGCTAGTCAGCGTCCTCCCTTTGCCATCTCAACAATTGCATCACCACATGCTGCACTGCAGACTGAACAATAACGTGTGAATCATCTGCCTCTGGTCATCCTGGTTGACGCTGAAGAAGTGGTTGTCAACAATGCCAAGGTTCCCTGGCATGATGGCTGGGCAAAGAGGAAGACCTACGAGCTAGTGGGCTGCAAAGTAGTAAATAGCGCATGCGTAGCCATAAGAAGGCTCTGGTTCATGTGCGATATGAATATTGCAAAAGCTTGTGGGTTGCGTGAAACTTCTTCCAAGTATATTCGTCACTGCTGTTGAGTAGATATTTTGGTAGTTGGCTCAAGTTGTATGGAGACTTCTGCAATGTCACTGTCAGCACCGACAGGTCAGCCACGGAAAATACACAGTCTGTTGGCGCAGGCGCTCTGAGGGCGACATGTGCTTCGCTCTAGATGTAGTTAAGAACCACTATGCTGTTCATTTTCTAATCGCCTCTCCTACAGAAACATGCAACAAAGTAGCACGAGGTTAAAAACCGAGCTGGAATGAACACAGAAAATGCTGAGGCAGCCACGCCAGAAGCGTCTCGAAGCAGTGACCTGTCAGAGGAAAGGCATCCATCGATATATATCTTCCGGGCAAAAACGTTTACTTCACTCCAGGACACAGCTTTTCTAGGATGTAGTTAACCAACCACTATGCTTGTCATTGAGTAATTGACTGTCTCAGAGAAAAACGGGACAAAGTAGCGTGAGGTGACACACAGCAGGCACTGTAGATGTTTTAGCGCACTCTCGTTGTTCGGCTCGCGACAAGTCTTTGTACACAGCAAGGATAGCGTTGCGCTTCCGCAGAACGACGTCCACACAGAATTTATCAGGAAGAAGTCACGGTATGAGACACACAGTTGGTTGGGTCTAGCGCGTCCGCCCGAAGCAGATCTGGATGGTGTAGGCATCTGTGAAGTTGCGGCTGTTGTTCCTCACCCAGTCGCGCCATCCACTGGACCACTGGACCACTCGCCAAAACTGCGATGTTTCTCCATGGGCAACCCAGTATCTGTTTGCTATGGACTGGTTTGGCCATCTTGCATGGATGAGCTCTGGCTGGTCATCATGGTATGTCCTCCTTCCATAGGACCAACAGAGGCACACCTGTCTCTGGTCATCATGGGCGACGCTGAAGAAGTGATCCTCAACAATGCCAAGGTTCCCTGGCATGATGGCTGGGCAAAGAGGGAGACCTACGAGCTAGTGGGCTGTAAATTGGTAAATAGCACATGCATAGCTATAAGAGGGTTCGGTTTGCACTCGACGCGCGCGATCTCCGCAGAGGGTTGCGCGGGCAGCCGGCGAATCGCACTCTCGCCTGCATTTCGCGCACTCGACGCGCACGATCTCCGCAGAGGGTTGCGCGGGCAGCCGGCGAATCGCACTCTCGCCTGCATTTCGCGCACTCGACACGCACGATCTCCGCAGAGGGTTGCGCGGGCACCCGGCGAATCGCACTCTCGCCTGCATTTCGCGCACTCGACACGCACGATCTCCGCAGAGGGTTGCGCGGGCACCCGGCAAATCGCACTCTCGCCTGCATTTCGCGCACTCGACACGCACGATCTCCGCAGAGGGTTGCGCGGGCAGCCGGCAAATCGCACTCTCGCCTAAATAACTCGACACG